TTAATAACTTATATAAATAATAATTAAAATTTTTTTATATATAGTTCTTGTTGAATATATTTAATGGGTAAAAAAATTTCATTTATTATTTATTTAATATGTTATATTTTCTTTAAAACTTATATTAAAAATAAAAAATTAAGTTAAGATTACTGAATTTAAATTTAGGAAATAGTGAAAATTATAAATTGAAAAAAAAATTATCAACTGAACTCTTAAAATACTAAAAAAAGATATCTTTAAAATTAAATTTCTTTTAGTAATTATTTATTGAAAAAGGTTAAAATTATTTATTTTTTAACCGTGAATAAGGCTTTTTTTTTATGAGGTGAATAAGGTGAATTATTGAAACAACATAAGTTTATTAAAGTAATACATTTTTAAAATGTTATTTTTTAAATTTTTAAACAATTTAATTGATAAATATTAATTTTTTAAAAATTATTTATAAACTTTTAATTTATAAAAAACATTAACAAATATTAAATGTTAGAGGTTAGAGCAACTGCTTACTGGTCCACGGTTCTGACAAGACTCGTGTGGGTCTCGTACAGTCCATATAATCCAAATCTCAGAAGCAAAGCCACGACATCACCATCAATTACCACGTGTCTGTTGGTCCACACAGATGTACATGTGTGACCTCCGGCTTTGGTATTACAAAAAGTTGGATGGACCCCCGTGCGGTCACCTTCACGGGCACTTCCGGCCCCGCTGGCTCCATTCCCCCTGATCCTCATACTGTGTGGGCCCCACCTTATACCCATTGTCATACTACTTTTGCTTGGAAACGGATGTAGTTCCCAATGCTTATCCTAGTGTAGGAAACTAAGAACAAGAACTCTCTTAAGTTTACTTAATTTTTTAATAAAATGGAAATATAATAAGTTATTAAATAAAAAAATATATAATAAGGAATTAATAAGTTTTTATTACATTAAATTTTTATATTATATTTATATAAAATTTTAATTATTTATTTTTTTATTTTTAATAATTAAAATTTATTTAATTAAATTTTATATCATTTTTATTTTTTAAATAAATTGATTTATTAAAAAAAGTAAAAATCAAATTGTTTAACATTTTAAATATTAAAAGGTTTTATAAAATTATTTAAATATTTTCAATAAATTTTCTTTACCTTTGTTTATCAAAAGTCTTTTATTTTAATTGCTCAAACTTCTTGATTTATCCCAATTTATTATTTAAATATATTACAATTACTTTTTTAAAATAAGAATGATAATTAATTTTAAACATTTTTGGTTAAAAGATACATACTTTCCTTTTCAAAATAATAATTATTTTT